ACCTGCCGTTATAGAGATGATAAAGATTCGCTCAAAACTATAATTAGGTTACGTTTAATAACCTTATAGATTTATGTCATGTGTATTATTTAATAATTTGTAGTTAAAATTTATTTAAATTATAAACTTTTTTTAATAATAAAAATAAAATCGTTAATTAATTTTATTGATTTAAACCATCAAATAAAACAACTAACTGTAGTATAGCTAATATTTTCAAAAAAAAATAAGATTAGTGGAAATATGCGGACTTTTTGACTTTTTTACCTGTCAAACCTCGTACTTGTATTGGATTTTTTAAATCATACTAATTTTAAAGAATCCGACACTTTTGAAGAATCTGAAAAAGTATATTTTTTATAATTATTTGAAAACCTCCAATTAAGTTTTTTTTTTAAAAAAAATGTGTTATCGTGTTTTTTAGTTGAATCATTATTAAGAACTCAATGATAGTTTTAAGTTTGATCTATTTTTGGAGATTACTTCAGAATTCGGAGAAAAACATGTGTGAAATTACTCAAGAAGAAGTTTGGCGGATAAAAAGTCAGGAAGTACTCATATTGTCAATCTTAAATTTTTTTTCTTTAAAATATAGCTTGGGTACACTTAATTGCTTTATTTGATAGTTTTAAAAAATAAAAAGAGTTGACAATTTTGTTATTTTATTATTATAATGAGTATATAATTTAAATGGATCTCGACCATAAATTATTATATAGTACACATAACTATTAAACATTACTTGACCGGATCTTCATCTTTACTCTCCAATGAATTTAAAATTAATGTAGACAACTATTTAGTAGGTGCTTACACTACTTATTACTGTATATAATTTAAATTAATATACTCTAATTGCATTGAAAGATTTGGTCATGTGTATATTTCTCTTTCAAGATTGTACATAATATTAATTAGGATAAAAATTTCCTTATATGGTGGGAGATGGAATTAATGAATTGCCAAACTTTCGGTAGAACCTGCTGCAGTAAAGTGTTAGTCATAGTTTTCCCTAAATGTGGTCATATTTTAATTAGTTTGCATTAATAATAAGTATGAAGTTATTTATTATTTTTGAATATCACAAAGTTTATAATTGACAAATAAAAATGGAGTAATAATTTTTTTGCCATTGTTATAAGTAAGACATAGTAATATATACTTTAGCATTGTTTAATATATATATATATATATATATTAGTAAATGTGGTATCGGTTTATTTTTTGTTTGGTAGAATGTTGAGCCTTATACACCATATATTTAGTGTTTTAATGTGGATAACTAATATATATTAGCAAATTATGATCTTCGCAATAAATATATGAATTATTAATGCATGAATAAACATGGATGTTAAAGACATAACAATTCGTAATATATCAAATTAAATAATAGATAAAAAATAATTTCATCATAACTAATTTTAGCATTACTTATTTCAATATTATTATAATATATATTTTATACAATATACCCTCTAACAAACAACTTATAATTAATAATATAATATAATCAAACACATAATCAGATTTGATTCTTCTCTCTTATATTTCTTATAAGATAATATTAATAATTTTGAGACAATAACAATAACATTAGTTTGTGCAGCGATTTAAAAAGAATAAAATAACAAACTCGCTGCATAAACAACTATTTTTATTTTTTATTTTTTAAAACATTTCAATAAATTTATCCAAAAAATAAAATAAAAAGAAAAAGAAAATGAAAATTTTTCAAAATGTCAATATTTTAGCATTTAAGAGAACTCATTAGCAACAATTTCAATATTTAGTAAAATGTCATTTTAGTTTGTTATGTATCTTATTTATGTTTTTATTATTTATTTTTATTTAAAGAATATAATTATTTAATAACAAAAAGGAAAAATTAAGGGGGGATATTTCAAAAAAAGGCAAGCATGCTTAATTTTCTCATCAGTTACATTTTCAAATAAAATTTAAATTTTGTTTTTTTTCTCCAGAATTTTTACCTTTTTAAAATTATATTATTCCACAATATATTATATTTATATTTATTATAGTTTTTTATTAGTTTGTATTCATTCCAATAGGTATGCCGAATTTATCTATATAGTCATTTAAGAAATATATTTGTATTTTCATATATTTTTTCCCTATATAGTTATTCTTTTCTTCAAAAATCATGTATGTATTCATTTCAAATATGTATTTTATTTGTATTTCTATTTATTCTAGTTTTTATTTAGAATTTTGTATAATAACATATAAAATACAAAAAATTAGTATGATGAAAAAGTGAATGAAATATAAAATTGAAAAAATAAATGAATATTTGGTGTACTCATTCTTAAATAAAATACATAACTAGTTGACATATCTTTAGAATAAATACAAATTAGAAAAAAATGTCAAATTCAGTTGACATACCTTTATTAGTTTGTATTCATTCCAATATATATGTCAAATAAAATGTAGCTATTTAAGAAATAAATTTGTATTCGTATATATTTTCACTGTGTATTTATTTTTCTTTTCAAAATCTTGTTTCCTTTTCTAAGTCGTATTCATTCCAATATGTCTATTATTTGTATTTGTATTCGAATACAAATAAACTAATAGAAAGTTTGTTCTTCTTATAAATAAAATACATAACTAGTTGACATATATTTGGATGAATACAAATTAGGGACAGATGCAAGATTCATAAACCATGCAACATGAAATTTTTAATAAATACAAATATTGATAGTATACATAGTGATTTGAATACAAATTAAGAAAGCATACCAAATTTTAAAAAAGAACTATAAATACAAAACAAACTAATAGAAAATTGTTCGACAACTATCCGATCTTCGTCCGTCTTTTTCAAGATCCTCACAAGTAGACAAAGATTCTACATTTGCGTTCTGAATTTGAGGAAGGTTTTGCACACCAATGAGTCTCGTAAATGTTTTTACCCTCTTTCTTCCCTCATTTTAGCAGCGGATCATATATTATACACTATTTGTAAAGTAATAAATAAATTAAAGGATGAAAAATCACTAGAAATTGGTTGATTAAGATGAATACCTCTAGTAAGCCTCTTGGATTCAGCCATTGGACAGTAAATCATAACGGAAATTGAAAAATACAAACAACATTTTTTTAAGATTTAAACAAAAATAAAATTAGAAAAGAAATCTGAAAATAGGATAAAGATTAGAGATACCTTAATCAAGGGATTCTTGTTGATTCAATTTTGGATTAAAAAAACAACCAAAATATATGACAAAAAATATTTGCAACTTGAATGTTGGAAGAAAATCAGAAAAGTAATCATGAGAGAGAGAAAAAAATTAAATGGGAGAGAGAATTAACAATTTGAAAAGATAAATATGAGAAAGAATGATTTTTTTTTTAAAAAGATATATAAAATTAATTGAAAAAGAGAGATAAAATAGGAAGAAAATTGAGACACATAAATTTTTTAAAATAATGACATTTTTGACATTATTGCTAATATTTATAAAGTATGAATATTTTTACTAAATATGTTATTTATTTTGACTAATTTACTAATTTTTCCAAAGAAGAAACCCATTGGCCGGGCAGCGAGAAACAAAGAAAAATGGATATATATCTCACATGATTGTGCAGCGAGATTGTCTTAAATTTTACGCTATTAATGGTGGTTAAAATCACAACATATCTAGCTTTCAATAGTACGTTTTGACTAAAAAATAAATAAATGTCAAAAATATATTTAAATTATTAAAAGAGCGAGTTTCATATCTAATTATGCTTATTAATTTGGTTTACCGTTAAAGTGAGAGACAAATATGTTCTAGTTTTTGAACTACAGGAATATCAATATCCAAAAATATGACGAAGGATATCTATATACCATTTACGATAACTCATAAATATATTTGTCCTTTTCCCTTAATTGTTATTGTCATCAGAAAAGGTTGTGGTAAAGTGATGGTTTATAAGTACTTCTTTATGTTTAATCAAATTGAAGGTTTTCATTTCGAGTGGTGATCAGTATAAAATTACCTCTAAAATCTAGACTTCAAAATAAGTATCAAGCACCGAATAGAAAATCAAAAGAATTCACTATAAATATTTTAACAAGACAACAATTGTTACTGCACAGATAGGCTACGTTACTTTCTGATTGAATATTGATACCTAACTAAAAATCCAGGTGTTTTTGTATATGTGAAAATGCAATACTCAGTTTTCCAGTACTTGCAACCTGAGAATATCTAATGTACAAATATTTGCATTATGAAGTTAATCTTCTTATCTTTTATCTCACACATTCTTTTCATTTATTTCAAACACATCCTTCGATTGTGATCTAATTTATTTTCTTGTGCTAATTACTTTAAAATTATTTTGTCAATGAATTTCGATGAAACTTGAATTCGTATCTTTGGGTGTGATTATAGTAGTGACCCAATGCTGACAAGAGATTAGGGCCACTAGTATTTATTACATCTCAATTTTTTGTACGTAAACAGTAACTTTTTGATGTAATTGGCCACCTCCGATAAGCATTAATTATAATTCACACTACCCACAAAATTGCCCCTCTGTAGGATGAGGATTGATGGCTTTGACAAAAACGCAAAATTTCTGGCCCACACATATATATATATATATTTAGGATTAATTCGATTATCAATGTAGAATTATGATGTAGAATCATTTGATCATTTAATATGAAATTATAATCTATGTTATTTAAATATTATTTTTTTTATAATTTAAAATTATTTGATCATATGATATGAAATTATAATTTAGAATTATAAAATAAATAATTTTAATCATACAATATAAAATTATGAAATAATAATCATATATATAATATTAATTTTACTATGTGAGATAAAATTGCATATTCAAACATTTACTCGCTCTATTGTTTTTGTTGTGTACTGCTAATTTTATTGCCGATTAATTTGAATTCGCGTGGAGGAAAAAGTTACTACTGATATAAAATTCAACTTAACCGTTGGTGTGACCCTCATCTGACATTCCTTTACCAAATAGGTGTTGCTGTTTAAATATACTTTTTCAATCATTTTTCTCCATCCCCAAATTCTAGAAGAAGAAAATAATAATGGAATCTCTTTTTGCTCAATTCGCCATTCTTTCGGAGCAAGCTCTTTGTGACAAGAACTTCGATCCTTACACTATAGAAGATGATCTGATGAAGCTCTTTGAAGTGGAGGCTTACAAGGCTTGGGCAGCCATGGAATTGGATCAACAAAAAGAAGTTGAAGAAGCTGAAAATTTCATGAAAGAAGCAGAGGATCATCTTAACACTGCTATGGAAGAAGCCATGGATGAATTTCGCCGATTCGAAGAGGAGATGAATGAGATGGCTAAATCTGAGTATGATAGCCTTGTGAGTGTTGCCGAAAGAGCTAGAAATATGGGGAAAGCTATGGAGAAAGTGGCTACAATTGCTGCCAAAAAGTATATTGAAACTGCTGTAAACTCTGCTGGTGCTTCAACGAAATCTGCTTTTAAAGCAATTTCTTCTCACTCTAAAAAGGTTCATCCTTCTTAACAGATCTCTCCCTAATCATCAATTTGGACTTCATTTGCTGAATTGTGTTGGATTATAAATGCATAATAAGTATTTAAAGTTGTTTTCTATTGAGCTGAGCTGAGAGTCTTTCGAAAACAGCCTCTCTAACTACATTCTACTGAGATTTTAATCGGCTATGTTGTTGTTGTATTCTAATTACTATATATTCTTCTGATTCAATATTATTACATAGTATAAATTATAATAATGTGAATAGTTTATTGAACGGATTAAAAAACAACATAATGGAATTTAAGCAGCAACACAACTTTTTATTTGGATTTAGAGAACTTGCTTTATTAAAAAAAAATCTGTTTTCTTAGAAAATGTACTTTACTAATCCGGGTATGTGAGTTTCCTTCAAGTATTTATCCCACTGAATGGTTGTCGGATCAAAATTGAATGTATCATCTGCATTGCTTTCTCTTGTTGCCATTCGCAACATTTCAGCATTCGTATCATCGAAACTGGGATAAATCAAGTATGAATGTTGTTAGAGTATCAATTAGGAACAAATTTAAGTTTGATCAATCAGTTTCCACTAGTATAGTATATCAGACGTTACATCGAGGTGTCCAAATCAATATAACATAGAATTAAGAGGAAGGAAGGAAGGGACATCAAATTATAAACTCACATTCCTTTGAAGAACACGTAAGGCTTGTAGAGTTCAGCTAGTCGAATGGCATGATTGATCCTTCTTTGTAAGTTTGTGTGCTGGACTTGCAAATGTCGGCAAAGCATGAAGTTTGCCCACTTTAATATCTGAAACATGTTAAAACTATAAACTTAGCTTAGTGGTAGGCCATCAATGCTGAAGTGCATCTCAGCAGTCATAAACACCCTCGGTATTCTTTTATAATACATCGCTCCTACATATCGGGATCTTTCCCTCTTTTACTATGCAAATCTAACCTTTAATGATGGCATGTAGTGGATTGCTATGTATTTGTGAAGACTATCCATGCTATCCAGTAAGTGAAATTGCTTCACTTTGACTGGCTTTCCTCTTTCATCAATCCATGGATTCTTCTTGAAGTAATCAACGCCATTTTGTATAAAATCATCAATTTTGATTTGATTCCTCCTAGACGAGCTAATATGGTAAACAGTTGTTCGGGACGATGGATTTCGATGGGCTACCATAGCTGCAATGACTGAGTTCACAACCATATCTGCTGGAATCTAGGCAAAATTGTAAGATAGCATTAAGGAATTAGTAAATACTTAGTAACTCAAAATATACGTGGATGAACTGATTTACACCAGCTGACATAAGGTACACTATATATATATATATATGACTGACTCACATACCACATCTATTATGGTGTCTCTGCCACCCATTGCAACTTTCTGTTTTCCTTTACCATAGCCAACAATGAACGTGTCCGTGGTTCTGTGGGAAGGAAGAAACAGATTATATTGGCTTACTAGCAAGAATTACGCTTCTCTAATTCCCTTGGGTGCTGAAATGGTATATAATTATTACCTCATTCCTTCAATCCATCCAGGGAATGGCTCCTTGTAGGTGCTCAATATAATCGTTGGTCGGAGAATAATGAGTTGGAGATCCTCCTTGAGGTGTCCCAAAAGCATCTCTCCCATTGATTTTGTGAATGAGTATGTGTTTGCCCATCCATGTAGCCTTGCCCTGAAGAATCATATATATATATATAGGACATATTGATTGATGAGACTCAAAATCGTGCTCAAAGGGAGGAGCTTACCATGTGAAATTAGGTTTTAGGCCTAACTCACACCCCAAAAGCTAGCCTCAAAGGGAGGTGGATTGCCCAAGCCTTATAAGGAGTCCACCCATCTCATTAACCACCAATGTGGGACTTTTGTCATTCTTTAACACCCCACCTCAGCCCTGTACTTTAGCATCTGGGACGTGTGCAATTTTGATTTTGGGGATCCCAACATCGTGTGAGACGGGCCCTACTCTGATACCATTTGAAATTAGGTCTTAGGGCTAACTCACACCCCAAAAGCTAGCTCAAAGAGTGGAGGATGTACAAGCCTTATAAGGAGTCCACCCATCTCATTAACCACCAATGTAAGACTTTTGTCATTCTTTAACAGATTTTATGAATAGTTTTAACTCTCAATACCTAGAACTCTCATAGCTAGCCTAACTTCTTTTTCAGTGGCATTTCTATGTTGAAGGTCCTTTAGTGCCTCCTCGACCAACTTTTGCTCCACGTCTATGTCTAAGTGAGAGCTTCCATTAAGCGTCTCACCATAGTTCAATGTCTTCTCTAGTATCAATCCTTCCTTTTCCCCACAAACATAGGCTGAAAAGAATCAGTTTTTATGCTAAAGTTAATACGCCCAAAGAAGTCACATGATAATGAAATTTGGTTGAGAACACACATAATAAATGATGGAGCTGACCTGTGCTTACATGGAGAAGCATCATAAGTTTTGAACACTGCTTGGAAAAATTGAGAACATGCAGGGCACCCAATACATTGGTCCTAATTGCAGTATCATATCTGCAAAAATATGGAATAAAGTTTTTCGTTCTAATTTAAGAAAAACAATTTCATTCTTTATGTACCTTTCATCAAATCTAGTTGTTGCAGCTGAGTTTACAATTATGTCTATTTCTCTGAACATCTCATCTTTCAGCTCAGAATTTATCCCCAAACTATCACAATCTATATCCCCTACAACTGGGAAAACTTTGTCTTCTATAAAGCCATGTAGGTTGGTGCCCAACTTCTCCCTCAGAACTCCGAACAGATCAGTTTTTATAACCTGCACTTAAAACATCATATTGAGCAGTGAACTCTGATAATCTATGCATGACTACGGTCGTGTAGTCTAATGTGCTAGCTGCTATTATTTCTACTGCTGCTGCATACAATCATATAGGAGTAGTAGTTTAGTAGTATTTATATACCTCGTTGTTAAAGCGTTGTTTCGCTAAATTTGAATCTGGAGCTCTTATTAGCAAGTAAAGCTTCTTCACATTTGGTTGGACTCTGAGTATCTTCTCACTGAGAACTGTAAGAATTTACAATGGGAGCAGTAGCAATACTAATATTATTCACAAAGCACGATTAGTTCAACCTAAAGGGGGAGAGATAGATAGAGAAATTACTCTTTGCTAGGTAGCCTGTTACACCAGTGATGAAAATGGTCTTTCCCTCGAGAAATTGCTCAATGCAGCACGATTCCATTGATGGAGAATGTGAGCTAGAGATGAAGGAAATTAATAATGTAAATATTTATATATTAGATATTATCGTTTTGCAAGTACTGTACTGGAAAAGTATGTATTTTAGGGAAACTGCACTGGAAAACTGAGAATTACATTTGCACATACACAAAATCACCTGGATTTTAAGTTACATACCAAATATTCAACAAGAAAGTAATGTAGGATATCTGTGCAGTAGCAATTGTAGTCCTGTCTAACTATTTATAATGAATTGCCAAAGTCTTATCTTAAGATAGTACTAGTTTTTTCCCCTGTTTCTGATTGGTGTCCTGTACTGGGGCTGGCTATTCCGGATTCGCACCATACACGAGGCTCTAATCCGAGATATTGGAGTAAAAATGCGTAACACTTATCACTCTATCACAATCTTAGGGTGATAGTGCTAGTTTTAATCTTAGGGGTGACAGTACTAGTTTTAGTTATGTGCAGTTCAATATTGGAGCTAGCTAATCCCTAATGGCCTAAATCTAAATCTTAATAAAATATGTGAAATATATGTAGTAAAATTTCACCTTATTCTTCAGTCTTCTAGAGATGCAAAATTAATTACTCCATTTTTTAAAGTTATATGCAATCTCTTCTGTACCAAATTCCTTCCAATTGATCATATATAGCCAATCAATTTAAATTTTTTTAATTGAGACATTGTTGATCCTCTCAGGTAAAGATCTTGTCATTTTCTTGATCTTGAAAAGTTTTTTTTTTTTAATTTGAGGTTATTGTTACAAAAACGGTTAAATTATTTAGGGATGAGTCAAATCTTATTATCGAGTATACTAATAAAAGTATTAGTACTAAATATGTATGTTGTCTTACTTAGTTACTTATAAGTAATAAGTCAATGACAGAGATTGTTACTCCTAAATTCTGATATAAGGAGCTTGCCTTTTTGGTTGAGCTTATTATATCAGGAGTTTCATAATGCGGATTACTTTTTTTGTGTAATTTGTAAATTATTTTATAAAAATAATAATTTTACTTTATATGCACCTAATGATAGCAACTATGAGCTTCCCTCGTCATCACAAAGATAAAAGGAAGAACGATTCATTTTTATCTGTCCACACAAGACTTTTCATGCCTTTTCAGAATAATGAATAAAGTACACTTTTATGATTAATGCAAAATTATTAGTTTAGGCAGATTCTACCAAAACTTTGGCAAGTCATTTCGCTAGTGTTTCATCATATATTTTCAAATTTTTTTGGCAAATATTATTAGGATAAAATTCATCATATGTTTGGTCATAATATTTGAAAAACATATTTTACTTTTAAAAAAATATATGATATATACTTATAAATTTTTAAAACTATCAAAACTAACTATGAATTTGTATTACAAGTCAATTGGATATTTGTTGCAACAAATAAGTAGTAATGTCCATGACACTAGAGCAACAAGCATCACTCGATACATCGTGAAATAGACTAAGCACATGACTTTGTTACTTTAAGCCGATTGTTCATCATTTTCAGCAATAACTGTATCATCACTTTAAAATTCTCTGAATATTCCATCACTATTTTGATATTTACGTAAAAAAAGTATGTAATACAACGTAAACAATTACTATAGAGGGTGTTTTTACCAAAAAAAAATAAAAGTTTGGTGTATTTATAACTCGACCAAACCTTAGGGGTGGCAGTACCAGTTTAAGTTTGGCATCGATAATCCAAGCAGCTCAATAATGAAATTGCACGCTTACTTCGATAAGCTACTTAAAACCTTAGTGCAGGGGCACTCCTAGCATAGCTAGTGGCCTAACTTAATAAATCACCTTTAACTTACCTAATAAAACTTCACTTCTATCTTTATTAATAAACTTTTTGATCATATGGCCAACTAATTGTATATTAAAACTTTTTTTAAGTGTAGTTGTTTAAGTAGTTATTCTAGTTACTGTAAATCTCTTTCTATATATAATTCTACTAAAACAATTTCTAATTGAATATTGATCATCTCAAATAAGT